ACACGAAAGCCACATGGCTGTGTATCCAGGGAAGTGGTCTGGATTTTAACTCAGGGAAGGCATTGAGGTGCTCCAGAAGAGTCCCTTCACTGGGGCGGGACTAGCCTGAAGTCCAGACTGAGCAATGCATGAGGTTGTGCTGTGGGGGAAAGGAAAACTCCCGAGAAGGTCTGCCCCCTATGTGGAGACTGTTTTTCCACTTCGCAACCTCTCCAGGGTTTACTTCAGAAGATTCAATTCTTATCACTACGCTTTAGAAGCAATACGGTGTGTGTGTGGGACAGTCAGGTGTGTTTCCCTTACTTGAAGGCACTTTTCATACCAAGTATTCTCTTAAGCACTGACTGTTCAGACAGACTCACCCTGTTCTCAGCCACCCCTGTAAGGACTGCCAGGTGACTGAGGCCAGCCTCCTGCTCTCATAGCTAGTCCTCTTTAGAAACTCTTTCTTCAAGCTCTCCTTGTACTCCTTACGGGAAGCTCAGTTCAGACTCTCAGTCCTCTACTCAGTGAGAACCTTCTGCTAATTTTCAGTGGGAAGGCGCTTGTGGCCAGTTTATACCAAGCTGTTCTTGTACAAATATCACGCTGCACTTTAAACAGAGCTTTCTCCACCCTGGCATCTCTTTTCTCAGCCGTATTTATTCTTCCTGAGCTTTCAGCTTGTTCAGTTAAAAAAGCTGTTTCTCTTGCCTTCAGCTGGATTTGCATCAGGCTTCCTACAGCAGAAGTCTTGAAGTTTGATGATACCAAGATATCAGAGAGGAAAGACAGCTGAAGCAAAGAAGTCAGTACAGCATGCAGCATTAAAGACATCTTAAAGAAATAAGAGAACCTAGGAGCAATTTATCTCTTTTGCCCCAAGACCGCGCTGGGTTGTCTTTATGCTAATACTGTCCCAGAAGAAGTTAGCTTCTGCACATTGAAAATAACTGGAGGTGTTGAAGTCCATTCTTGCTGTCACACAGGCATTTGTTATTCAAAACAAATAGTCCTCTTGCTTTGGTTAACCATTAAGAGTTCAAATTAAGATACTTTCCTCTTCCATTGAAGGATACGGTGAATTATTTAAGAGAGACAGTATCTGTATTCCTGCTAATACAGGAATATTGCTGTATCACCACATGGGAGCCAATCACTTGATGCTGAAACCAACTTAAGTTTTACTCCAAGCGACCTGGAGAAGACTGTACAAGGACTCTAGTCATTAGTCTTCAAAAGACCCCCACTTTTCACTGTGCTCATTCTCATGAACACTTTCAGAGGGCAGTGGAGATATTTCACGTGGGAACTACCCCTCCTCCCACTGGGCAGGCTTGCTGTTTAAGGCTGTTTTTGTTGTTTTTAAGGGTAAGAGTTGACTATTTTGGCAGATCAGGATTAAGGCATCACAACAGTACTTTGGAATAGGCATTTGTTGCACATGCAGAATGCAGGCTTTGAGGAAAAGATGTAAGCTACACCTTGCTGAGTAAGCTCCCTCCACACCCCAGCATTCAGCAATAAAGGTCCCTCTGCCTGGCTGATGAGGTTTATTGCGAGCGTCTCTCAGACAGACTCTTTTGGAGGGGTAAGCAGAGAACATGGATGAGGTAAGCCCTGCACATGTTCAAGGGAGAGGTCCTAAAGCAACACTGCTCAATAAAGCAGAAGGGTAAGATGTTGCCCCCGAAGCAAACAAGATCAAGAAACTCATTTTGAGGAAGGAAGATAAAGGCAATCCATTTCAAGCTCAAGGTCAGCCAGATACACGACACCTTATGGCACTCGGTGTCAAACATAGCACCTAGGGAGAACGTGCTACAGCAACCCAGGGGATGCACTGTGCATGTGGCCTTACGGCACCACTGCAGTTTCTAGACAGATGTGTACCTGTCTCTCCTACCAGTTCAAGCACTCTCATCACTACTTATTTCACCTTTCCTGTCTGCCTCAGTCTGCTGTACGGCAGCAGTAGTTACGAGTTCTGGCATGTGGGTGCAGGCTCTGCTGGGCACAGCCCCATGGAGACACAGCACTTGCTCCGAGGAGCTCACGGTCTACACGAAGGGTAGAAGGTCTTCTGTACAGCAGTTCGGAAAAGCAGGTCATGCTGCAGACAAGGATAAAAGCTCTCAGATGATATTTCTTGGCACATTAGTCAGGAAGCCTGCTGCTTTCTATTCCTAGCTTGATTTGAGCATCTGACACAGCCAGGTCTCAGAAAAAGACTGACCAAAGCTAAGTTACGTGGTCATCAGAAAACCATGCTGACTGATGCTGTTCATTTATAACTGGTAAGGCAAATTACATGGTCTCAAGCCCACAGGTTATATGAGGATTGGAGTTGTAGATTCTTCTGAAACGTAGTATAGGCAGAGGGAAGCTTTAAGATAAACTCATACATCGGACCAAGCATGCGAACAGAAGATCCTGTACTCTCCCACCACGAGGCATGCTCCAACACTCCTTGCCTAGCACTTCTGCAAGCACCAGGAAATTGGCCTCTGCTTCAAAGGAGCTGCCTCAAAGCATCCACAACAGCAGAGATATGCACAAACAAGAATAAACGAGACACTGGAGGAGATACCAACAGCACATCCCAGGTGAAGTACTCTCACGTCTATAGCACAAGCAAATTTGCAGGAAGTCTTCGAGAATGAGAGCAGGATGGATTTTGCCAGCTAGCAAAACAAAACTCTACAGCTAGAAGCAGCAAAAAGCAGAGAACAACAGTATCAAGAGCTTGAATAAAAGTGGCAAAGTTTCCCGAAGGCTGGGAAGCTGCCAGGATACTGGCAGTCAGAAGGCTGATGTATAGCTTCTGACTCTTAGCGTCTAAGAACGGAAGAATTTTCTCCAAAGTTTTCCAATTTGGAAACAAAAGGAAAAATACAGTAATTCATTTAACTTAGGGAGACTTTATCCTGGAGGGACTCTGTCATGTTACTAAAAGGACAACAATAAAACTGTAAGAAAGCTCTATCAACTAACAGCAATTTTTCAGAGGACCACAAGATTTTTCTGCTGTTCAGAATCTAGATGCTAATCTGGAGCAGGGCCCAAAGGAGAATGCAATGCTCTGTTTCATGATTTAAGGAATGTACTTTATGATCCAATTGAGCTGCTCTAGTTTCAAGTCTGCATGAAACATGCAGGCAGGAGCCACCCTATTTTTGGGAACTGACTTGAAGGCAACACAGACTGGAAGAACTCCACTGGGAAAGCCAATGTCATACTTAAACAAATTTGACAAACCTCAGAAAGTATGAGCTCCCACATTAAAGCCAAGGCAGATCTAGAACTGCCTTGTCCTCTATTACTCCTTCTTCTCAGACCTTCTCTAGAAACTAATACTGAACATAGCCTGTAACAGACCTTTTCTGCAACAGTGTAGGAAAGTCTGTCATCCACTCTCCTCTCTCCCACCATTTCAAAAAAACAGAATACCAGGCAGCATGACTACATGCAGTGCCTCTTTGCATTTACATAGATCCCATCATTTTGATGCTTCATGCTTTCTTCTTCAGAGCTCTTTACTACAGCATGAGAGATTTTTACAGCCTAAAGGAAAAGCAAGTGTGCCCAATCAAAGCACTGAGAGCAGCACTTACCTGGGCTCCTCTAGAGTAAGATCTGAAAATGGTGCAAAATCTTCCTTGCCCTGATGTGTCCCTGCAACAAAGTAAAGTTACAGCTATGAAATTTGGAGAATCAAATCCCATACTGCACATCTCCTACTGGACTTTAAAAAATAAATTAAAAAAATATACAAAAAAAAGCAGTGTTGATCTTGTCAGATCTTTAGAACATGCATGGTACCCAAACTGCTCTGCACAGTGTTTTGGGGAAGTATCGGTGGGTGCAGTCTTTGGTTACAGTCAGACACTCCAGAGGTCCTTGCTGTCATCACACTTCCCACGGAGATGGTACAAACCAAAATCACTCAGCTTCAGCACTACATTATGATGTACTAGAATGTAAACCATTTTACTCCCTTGGGCAAAGAACTTTCTCTCTAGTTCCCTACAGTCCATGGGAGTTCAAAGTCAGACTAAGACTGAAGACCTCTCCTAGTCATGGAGAAGAGCTGACCTATTGTAAAATGAACATAACCACTTAAGATAAATTGTCTTGCATGCTCTAGTTTCATTTATTTTTCCAGACAGATTTTAACCAAAAATGAAAGGAAATATCTTTATACTCAGATCTCTGACAGACCTGGTCTGTTGAGCTCAGGAGCAGCACTAGGGAACAACATTTCTAAGTCCACTGTGACCGTAAGGGACTATTCAGTCACTATCATTTGTCCCAGCTGCAACTCTTGACATGATGCAAACAAGTTTGGTTACATTACCAGCACCTCTCAGTGCCTGTGGGAACATCTCAGACAGTGAGTCAGAGCTCAGCATGTCGATTTCACCACTGCATTACTGAAATATGTCAGGGTAATCAGAGACACATTATGATGTTCATCACATCTATTCCCTGGGCCAGAATAAGACACATTAACGATCACCGAGAAGCCTGATGAATCCCTCAGCCCCAGGTTTGCACCGACTATATGAAAGAGGCAGCAACCTCAAGTTTAGGACAGTCATTCTTTCAGATCTAAAGCTTTCAAGGATCATATTATTGGTCCTGGATGTCAATCTAACAGTTTGTGCTTAAATCAAATATCGGGTTGCATGAGGAAAGTAATGGTAAAAGATTACACTGTGGTATCATAAACTGATGCTACTTGAATTTCTGTCCTGGTTCTCCAGCTCAAGAATTACAGTATAAAAAGAAGAGGATTTCAAGAGAGAAGCAGTAACTACACATTTGGGGCTGAAACATTAAAACAGACATCTTACAAGGGAAGCAAAAGAATACAAGCAGCACAAATAAATGTACAAGCTGGAAGCGATAAACTAGCTGCTGCCGTTCTTTTGTTAGAAAAACAAAGACATTCAGCTTCAGAGAGCAGGGGTATAACTAAACCACAAAACTATATGCAGCTAGAGTCAGCCACTGAGGCTGAGAATGTCCTTCATTCCTATTTAACAATTCACATGGATTACTAATATTCCTGTTACTTGATACAAGCATTGGTAAAGGGGCTATTTAACTTCATGTTTTAGGGCCTGCGTCATTCCCTACTAAATCCACGTGAAACCCAGAATAGGGGCACGCTACCTATCCTCCCCCTTTCAGCTAGAGGATTGCTGTGGCAACTTCTCAGCAGTTAAACCTCAGACAAAGCCAGGCCAGAAGGACTCCAGGTCTCTCTCCAGTGCTGACTGATTAGGCTGGGGTCACCCCTCAGATGCAGCATTCTCCCATCTCCATCCCAGTTTCAGGGCACCCCAGTAAGTCCGGCTCTCCAGGGATTTATCATATGCTGACACTAATCACAAGGGCTATCCACTGCTCTTGTAAGAATTTTCTACTCAAGTCATTGAGAAATATCCAGGCTTCTATAGGGACTAAGGGCTTCACTCATTTTTTTTCTCCTCCTTTCCTACTGTCTCTGTCTGTACTTCTCCTAGGATTTCAGGAAAATCCAGTATTGCTTCCAAAACAGTACTGTTCCCTCATTGATTGAGAGCTGTATGGGCACACAGTCAGGTATGATGGAGAAAGCCTGAAATCGGACCATTCTGGCAAAGAACAACACGCTGTTTGTGCTATTCGATCAACAGACAGGGATCTGGTTTGCTAGAGTAACTTGCTAGTGAGAACAGCTAGCAAGCCTCCCCGCACTCCTGGGGATGCTCTGCGCTCTCTGCAGCTCGGTACAGCATCCCACTAGCAGCACCACAGCCCTCGTCACTGGTCCTGTGCTTTCAGCTAGAGCAGCTCAGAAACACTCACCAGAGTTCCAGCTTGACCCTTCTGCCGTCCAACAAGATAGTAGTGGTCTTGTAGTCAATTCCTGAAAGGAAACCAATAAAAAGCTGAGCAAACACAGAGCAGGGTCTTCCGAGATGGACCAGAAACCTGCTCTGCCCATCCAGATCTATCTTTTCATGTTTATAGAAAGTGATGTTCTCTCTCCCTTGCTCTATTGCATGTTTGTGGAGGGCTACAGAGACTCAGTAGAAACAGACCTCAGTTTCAAGGCAAAAACTACTCTTGTGGAGCTCTATCCCTCCTCCCTAAAAATATAGTTAACGCCTAGATTGCTTCTTACTTCTCCAATGTTGGATAAAGCCTGTCAGGACTCAAGCTGTAGCAGATTCGGTGGTCTGCAGCATTATCCCAAGTGACAGTGTTAAATTACAGACTTACGGAGGGCGAGCCAGAGACACCAACAATTCAGAAGCATCTCTGCTAAGTCAGCCTGCAGACCCAGTATCTCTCAACGAATGTCACTGCCTGAAACATTCAAAGGGCATTCTGGGAGGCAGCTGATCTCAAAAGCCTGTCCAGAGAATGCCGTTTCTTCTTCCGAGTAGCTCTTCGGTGCCCATCATACCAGGGTCAGATAAGGCAGAAAGAACTCCCCCTTCACCAGCAGCTGCGAGAGCAGCACGGACAACTGCTTTTCACAGAGCCATTACTACCAGAGCAGCAGAAGACTCTCGAAACCACACCACCAGGCTGTACTGACAAGCAACTCCTTTGCACAAGGGGTGCCCAACATCTTCAGATACACAAAGAGTTTGTTAAAAACTGGGAGCCTGTCTCACGTTCACACAGAGAAGTTTAAAAAAGGGGCAACCCCACCTGCAAGTAACACGTTCAAAACAAGGTGAAGGTGCCTCTCCCCATGGCCCCAGGCACAGCAGGGAAGAGGCGTGACTGCATCTCCCACCCACTTCCCCAAAGCCTGGGCTCGGGAACAGCCAAGGGGCACCAGGTGCCCGGGAAAAGCAGCTTCTCCCCCAACTCCAGTTAATCAGCTTCAAGTGTGTTGAAGTTGCTTAAACAAAGCACCATGCACCATTACTGCACACCCACTAAAGCATTAACTAATTTACAACTGCCTTTAATAAAGTAGAGTCGCTTCACTCTGATTAGATCAACTTTATTTTTTCCCCCTGCCAACAGATATCAAACTTTGAATCTATATTAAAAACCCACTGTTGTGTTACAACCTGTATTTCCCTTTTCCTGCAAGGAGAATACTGCCCTGATAACCAAACAGACAAGTTTGTCAATAAAGCAAATGGATTTTTCTGAGTCATCAGCAGGAGCTCCCTGTTAGTGAAAAACAAATTAGATTTCAGCCTTCACAGGGTGCTATAAAAAGCAATAAAGATAATTATCTTAAATTCCAACTATTTCCAGTGCTTTATCACAGAAAAAAAGACAGTTTACATTTTATCTTCCTCCAGAGACAAGTGAATGATCTGTATTTATTTTTGGGCAGATATAAATTTCCCCCTGCAACCAGGAAGGAGCATCCAGACATCTCCCCCCAGTTACTGAACCAGGATCATGCCCCAGCACAGGCTGACTCACCATTAGGGAAGGGGCTAATTAAACCCATTGCCCTTTCAGACACATAATCCCCAGAGACTCTGCTCCATGCAGAACTGCCCCATTTCTCGTTAGGCACAAGAGCTCCCTGCAAGCAGTAAGTCCTCAGCATCCTCTGTGCCCGCAGCTCAGGCACACGGATGGAACAGTCGCGTGCAAGCACCAAGGAGGGGAAATAATGACACCATTTTCAGGGCACAGAGGCCACACGCTGCCAAAAATGCAGCCATCGGGTGAAACAAATTGCTCAACTATCAGCTCTTAAAAGCGACAGAGGCTCAGATGGACTGGAAAGAGAACTGGTTCATGGAAACACCAAACACACAAACCCAGAAATGCCCTCATTAGGCTCCGCGCTCAGGACCTGCCTGGCCTACACCCCAACACAGGGAACATGGGTTCCCCGTCACAGATATACACGATTCAGTCACCAGAGCAATGCTTGAAATACCCATTCCTTCCATGCCCATCTGAAACTATACCAAGTACTTTAAATCAGAGCAATGCTGGTCTTTGAGCAGAACAATACGGCCATGACCAAAGTGGGCAACCACCAGAAAACAGCACCGACTCAGGACAGCTCAGTCCTGAGCTCCTGCTGCAACTGCTCCTCGCTCCAAAGATGCTCATGGAAAATAAACAGGTGAAGCAGAAGTCATTCATGTCCTTCACAGTGATGTCTATGCTCAGAAGAGAAGGTATGTGAGACAGCAGGAGGAAGCATGAGGTGTGTGGTTGTACTTGCTCCTGCAGATATCCCTTCCCAGGGGACAGGCAGGGATGGCAGCCCATCGCTTGGGCAGGAAATCAGTGAAGCTCACAATGATGGAGCAGTTCCAGCAGATGCTCCGGGCACCTGCTTCCCACCACACCTGACGTCAAATGCCAAATGCAAATGCACAGAGAAAGGAAAGTACCAAATCTATCCCCCCGTGTTTCCAGGTGGCTGCTAGTCAACTGGTTTTACTGCCTGGCCTCTGGGCAGTCTGTGTCTTTGTGTGGAACTTCTCTCCTTGGCATCAGAGTGCTGGAGGTGAAGGGTAAAGGCCTTTCTGAGGATCACACCCCTGCGGTACTGCTGTGAAACTGGCCTGAGCAATCCACATACACTCGAGTTACAGGCAAATCTGTTTTGAGTTTTTATTCTAGGCTACAGTCAGCATTTAAGCAGTATCTGGTAACACAGGCTGGAGAAAAGTGATGCATTTTTTAACTTGCGTACACCCAAATTAGGACTAGGGGCTAAATTTACAAAAGGTTTTTGAGCAAAATCTCTACCTAGAAGCTCACTGAAAGGGACAAAAACATTTTGGAGAGAATTTCAGCTTCCTTCTTCCTTACAGACTGAGTGTATCAGGACAGCTCAGAGAGACTCCCTTTAAAGTTTGCATGTAATAGCTTTTTTTGTGTGTGTGTGTTTTTTCAGCTGGTTAGCACTCAGAGCAGGATGCAGCTCATAAGTGCAGCTCTCCGGCTGCTGTGCAGCACAGCCAGCTGCCACAGGCAAATCCATGGCTCGCTGGTGCTACAAAACTTGCTTCAGTCACACATGCCCTTAAAATCTCAGGACTCGCCACAGCAGCTAACATCAGCACTGGCCACCTCACAGCTGATATCTTATATTTCAGTCCCAGTAGCACACAACAGTTTCCCAAGCTGTAGCCCAATATCTACTCCCCCCATTTACAAGAGGGCAAGGAAGGTGAGCAGCTCAGCTCGCTTTCCTAGGTCCAGCCTGCAGCTCAAGCTCAGCCTTGCCTTCGCCCTTGTCCCAGGGACGTGGGGACAGAGGGCCACAGTGGTGCCAGCTGCAGCAGCTTCGCCCTTGTCCCAGGGACGTGGGGACAGAGGGCCACAGTGGTGCCCCCCCCCCCAGCCACAGATGCCACCCCTGCACAGGGGCCGCTGGCAGCACCAGGGCTGCTCCTCCGCCTTCTCCTTTCAGGCAGCTCAGATGCCAATAAATTAAGGGAAGTTTTAAAAATTTAATTTCTGTAGTTGACAGGGTTTCCCCCACCTGAGCATCACCTCCGCTTGCAGCGAAGTACAGCTCATTTCGAGACTGACATTTATTCTCTGCCAGAACATGCTTTGATCTCCCGGAAGGGATGTGCTACTACAAACCCCATACGATGCTCCTGCGGCACACGCAGCACCAGCAAGGCAGCCGACTCGCTGCCAGCAGCTGCCTCCACAACACTGCCTGGCCCTCGGGCACGCAGCACTGGGGGAAAAGAAAACAGTCTTGTTTAAAGCTTATTTTATATCAACCCATCTCTTTCTTGACCAATCTAGCATGATGCAACAAAATGAATGAGGCTTGGAAAACAAGTCTGGGCTGTTCTCTCTCATTTAGCATTCAGGCCGACTCCTCTGCTATTTTTCCAGTCCTTTAGACTCCTACTTACGCTGATGCCATCTCAACCCCACTTCTCGAGCAGCAAGCTGACCTGGCACGGGGCGCTCAGCAAAGCCATCTGCCGTCACCAAGCCTGATGTCAGGCATCCCATTCCCCGCCGCAGAGCTGGGTTTCCCACTCCCAGGCAAGACTCCAGGGAATTCCAAACCTTTGTTTCTTTTGCAATTGGTATAAGGAAAACCTAAGAGAGAAAGCCATTTTCCCATGGGAATAGACAGGATGTGTTATAGGAAATTCTGACCTCTTCCAAATTACTCATGCAGAGCACAGCACACTTTGCATCACTGTGACCTGAAAAACCCCACACCCAACCTTAGCTTAGTTAAAACTTTCACCCAAAAGATTACACCTGAAAAAGTAAAACCCCTCCAAGAGAAACGACAATTTTCTTCCAACACTTGATACTACTTTGTATCAGGCTGTCAGTCCCCCTTTCCTCTTGAGAATTCATGGCTCGGAGAAAGGCATCCCTTCACTCCGCCAAGTCCCCGAACTGCATCTGCACGAGCAGCAGCACACCAAAAACACAACGGAGGAGGCAGCAGGCAAGCAGATACATGGAAGTGGAAGTTGCACTGGAAAAGGTAGAAACACAAGGGAGATATATATTTCATGCTACTCTTGGACTCTGCCTTTAGACAGATTAATATCTCAGGAAAATTGCTTTAAATAGCTCAAGCGAACAAGGCTCTATAAATATTACTACTGTAAGCACAGCAGCTTCATGGTTTTGTGTAGGTCTTTGCTTTAGAGAAAAGGAGACAATTTTACAGTTGCAGACTCTCAAGATGACTCTGCCCTAATGCCTGGGCAGGGGACCAGAAGGGTTGCTTTCCCTTAAAAAGGCAGCTTTGAGCAAAACCTTACAACAGTAAGGGCAGCACGTGCCTTTTTCCTCCTTTAGCTTTCCAAAGCAGTCCTCACTTAGCACTGGGCTAAGAACAATTCCAGCTCTCAGTGTGATGCTAGAGCCAATACTGCGTTTTAGGTTATTAGTCCAAATCAAGTGTCCTCCTCCAGAGATGCTCTAATGATCCAACCCCCAACTAACAGCTTCACTGCACCTGTACAAATATCAAAAAGGTACAACCGGGACTTGCCCCGTGACAGAGGGATGAAGGGGCTCGCCCCACATTAAAGCAAGCCATCAGCAGGTTTTCCTGCGACATTCCTTGAAGGCTGAGCTGCAGCAGGCTGGCAGCAACATCTCCAGTTTGCATCTACAGTGTCTTTAGAAGCAACATAATTTATTCACAAGTCTGGGGCAGAAGACAGTCTAGGTGATGCTCAAAATTCTCTTCCCATATGAAAAAAACCCCAAACAAATAACCAATGCACTCAAGTGAAACACTGATACAGTTTTAAGACAAGCTTACTTTCCTTCCAAAGGACACTCTCCTTGTCACTTCAAAGCATTTACAGTTTGCGTGAATCAGATTGGCCAAAGATGCTTTTGCCACCTCATTTCTTAAATGAATTGTTTTCTGCTTGTGGGAGCTCGGAATCCACCACCTCACTTTCTGTTAGTCCACCCACAGCAAGAACCAATGCATGTTATTTGAGCTTCATTCAAAATACAATCAGTCTCCCCAGCTTACAGACATGTGCCATATAATGCCACTTCAGCATTTTTCCTTATTTTTTTTTTCCAAATTAAACTAAACTGGGTTTCATTTATTTGTAATTCAAAAGAAGTCACCCAACCCATTTGCAAAGTGATATATAAGGCCAACAGGCAAAACTTGAGGTGTACAATGATGATGAGCCAAGGCCAATCCTTCACTTAATGCATTATATAAATAAGAAAATAAGATAAATTGACCAGATTTTTGTTACCTATTTGACTAATGCTGCTTTTTGGCAGATTGTTATTTCATCTATAGACAAAATTAACACAGAGTGGCTCCATTCTGCAACTCTTCTAACCACAATGGCGCTTGAGTCCTCAGAGGAGGACTGATTAGCAAGATGTGCCTGATCTGTCAGCACCCCTAGAGAAATGCTCTGCTCTACTGGGAAATTTTAACACTGACTCCCACACCACCAGAAACACCCATCATACCACCGCAGCACCTCACCCAGCAAGCCTGGTGATGGACGTTCATTTGTGACTGTCATTAGTACAGCCAAAGCCACCACGCCACAACTGTCTAACTGAAAATGCTGGATTTTCCCCCAGAGCACTTCCAGACTCTTCTGTTTTCCTAGAGGTCACCAGCTCTGCTCAGTCCAGAAAAAGGTCTAGGTCTTCTTAAAAGGTCTTCTTAAAGGTCTGCAGGTTTAATGGCACACTGAGCAGCAACTGCTGGGAAGAGGGGAGAGCAGGAGGCTGGAATAAGAAAAACAGAGAATATAAGTCAAATATTTAACTTGCTGAGATTTCGCAGTAAACTCGAGTAGCCAGCCACGAAGGGTGGGTCGTGGTGTCTGGTATTCAAGCAGATCTTCAGGAGAAAGTAATGTAGGTCTCTGTGAGCAGCCGGCAAATCAATAACTGAAAAATTTCAAGGCATGCCGTGATTATAAAACAGGCAAACACCATCAAGAGTATCGAGCAAACCCTGTTTCTCCTGGGGCAGCACTGAGAATACCTCCAAATCAGCGTGGCAGACTTCACAGACAAATTGTGATGAATTTGTAACCCAGCGTTGTGGCAATCCTTACTTAATACACAAGGAAGGATCAGAAGCCATAATTATCCAGCTAGTCTTAAGTAGCTGTTTCCACTGCCACAAAAGTAGACAAACACCAAAAAACACTTTAGAGTGGGTCAATGGATTGCAAATATTTTTTTTTCTTCCCTTTTGCAAAAAGAAAACATTAAGAACAAATCTCCAGTGAAGCTTCTCAGCAGCAAGGACTCCAAGAGCTGTGGCTCAGCAGAGATGGGTAAATTTAGCTTAAAACCTTTATCACCACTTCAGACAACGCTGTGGATTGCCAGCAAGAACACCATAGTCAACTGTGAATTTTTGGGAGAATGTAAACCACACGAGAGCCCTGTCCCTTCCCTGGCAGCCCCTTACCGGCCAGACTTCGGGGCAGCTGGGCCTGGCTCCCCGGGACAGCCCGGAAGGGGTCCGGGTAGGGTGTCCCCCCTCCAAGACCCTCTTGCAGGGCTGGCAGAGCCTGGCTGGGTATTGCTCGGGCTCCCCAGCCTGCCATAGTCCCTCAACACACCTTTGGTGATACGCAGGCAAGTTTTTTACCACATAAGCTAGCAGTTGTCTTACTTGTGCGTGTGCAAGGCGCGAGCTGCTGAAAGGTCCCTCCCTCTCCCTCCAACGGGCCTGTGCAAACCTTCCAGCTGGATTGAAAAACCAAACAACTAATCTGTGCAAAACCCAGTACAGTGACTGCGCCTCTGCCTGTACACCAGACTTCGTAACTGGAGCCCTTCTGTGCTCCGGGAAGTTCAGCCTAAAGCCAATAGTGCAGAGCTTAATTTATCCCAAACGCCAGCAATAACTGAGCAGCGTCCAAAGACAACTGTTTATTCTACCAAGTCCCTGGGTGTCACAGATGTCAACCACACCTTTCTAAGCCATGACTGACATGGCTGGGTTTTAAAATTGAAAGACTTGCGCCTGTGTGTGCAGGCACCATGCAAGTCTGCCTAGCTCCTTCGGAAAGCCAGAGCAACTGCAGCATGCCACGCACGCGGGAGAGAGGCAGCGGCCAAACTGACCCTGGCCAATGTTTTCACAGGGGCAAGTTAATGATGAAAAGCAATAATTGTTTCCTATGGGGCAGCAGCACGGCCCCACATCTGACAGCTGAGAGCCTGAGGGCGTGCTAGTTTCCCCAAGAACAAGCGAGTGGGGATGTCCTCATCCCTGCCAAGTGCGGAGAAAAGGTAGAAGCGGCAACCACCAGTCAAGTCCCATCCTTACCAAGAAGCCAAAGAGAACAAACAAGGGAAGAGAAGTGCTGGGAGGTCACAAAATTGAGGCCAATACGTAGGCACAGTAGCTCCAGGTCTGTGTTGGGACATGACAGCAGACCAGCTCCAGAACAGCAGCATCATTCCCACTTCCAGACCTTGGCATGCAAGAATCCCATTCCAAAACCGAGGCAAAAATCCCACAGACACCCCCACCCCTCTAAACAAACCAGTTGCTCGTGGGGCCGACAGCAG